AAGGCATTTGAATAACTGTCTGAGCCTGTCGAAAACAAATATTTGATACAATTTTCTCCAAGGTGGTGGAGAAAATATTTTCCCCTAGTAATTAGTAAAAGCAATCATTTCCATATGTTCTATAGAGCTACAAGAACTGAATATGCCTATTTCTCTCCTTTTCCTCTTTTCATGCAGCCTTGGTGTCACCAAAAGGTTGGTCATTCAAATCCCAGTAGCTCTTCTGAGGGAGGAAGATACAACAGTCTGCTTCCTAAAGGTTTGTCATTATCGTTGTTGGGCGCTATTGAGTTGACTATGGCTCATAGCACCCTCTGAACAACTCTAGCGACTCCACAAACAACTGATTGAAAGCATGTCCTAATTCTGCGCCACCCTCACAATTTCCACACCATCACAATCTCCACCATGCACAAACCCAGTGTTGCAGTCACTGTGTCAATCCATCTCATTACAAGTCTTCCTCCTTTTTTGCTGGTCCTCTATTGAAGATTAATGCCTTGGAAACACTATGGGTGAGTTCTACTCTGTCCATGGGATCATCAAGAGCCAGAATAGAGTCAATAGTGATATCTCCTCCCCCTTGATTGGCTCTAGTGTGTCAGGAAGTGAGAGGATGGCACAGGATAGGACAGGGTTTAGATCTGTTGTTCATAGGGTTGCTATGAGTCATACTTGACTCAATGGTACCTAACAACAACAACATAACTGTATAATCACATAACAAAATGATTCTCTATCATTTTACTATTGTTTATTATTCTCAGTGTATTTTGCTTATGCATTGCATAGGGAAAGTCTGATGTCAGTGACCTCTACAAATTACTGAGGAGCAATGATGTAATTATACAGACTAAGATGTCTTTGATTCAGACCTTGGTCTTTTCAATCAGTTGCTATGCATCTGAGAGCTGAATAATAAAGAAAAAATGACAGATGCGATGTCTTTGAGTTGTGATGTTGGACATTACTGAATATCTCATGAACTGCCAAAAGAACAAACAGAGATCTACCAAAAAATGTGCAGCCAAGTACTCCTTGGAGAAAAGCATGGTGAAGTCTTGTCTCAAACACTTTGGACATGTTGCTAGGAGAGGTTATTCCTTGTAGAGGGACATCAATCTTGGAAGGGTGGAGGGTTGGTGAAAGAAAAGAAGACCCTCAAATAGATAGATAGAGAGTAATTGCAGCAATGAGCTCAAATATGTCAGAAATGATAAGGATGGCACAGGATAGGACAGGGTTCAGATCTGTTGTTCACAGGGGCACTATGAGTTGTACTTGACTTGCCAAAACCTAACAACTTGTACTCCATTCAGTAGATTTTTTTTCTATTTATGTCATTCTTTCCTGAATCTGCAAAGAATTAGAGAAAACATATGTGTGACCATATTTATTTAATTAGAGAATATTTCAATATTGTTTTATTTATATAATTCTCTTTAAAATCTTCATGGTATTGACTGTAATAATAAAGAAAATCTGTTTATAAGATGAAAATAGGGAGAATATCTATCAACAGAAGACTGGATTTAAAAAAAAAGTGGTATAGCCATACAATGGACTATTATACAGCCATGAAAAAAACGAAGTCTTGATATGTGTTATAACTTGAATGCACCCTGACAAGTCTATGTAAACTGAAGGATCAGTAATAGAAAGACAAATATTGCACAATACAACTAACAGAGAATATCTAGAATACTAAGTATACATAGTGCAGTTTCACTGGTCTCGAGGGAGGGATCAAATAATTGTTCAGGAGACACTGAGCTTCTTTTGACTAAAACCAAACTCATAGTGATGATTAATTGGGTTTCTAAGGCTACACATATTTAAGGGATGAGACTGCCTATCTTCCTTCCACAGAGCAGCTAGTAGACTTGAACCACTGACATTTTGGTTAGTAGCTTAACATACTCCTCACTATATTTTAGCAGGACTTATTCTATTGATAATGATGATAGCACTTGATAATAAATCATGATAGCTGCCCAATATGATGAACATAATGTCACTGAATTATACATGTTCAGAATGTTAAATGGGCAAATGTTCTGTACATACATTTTTCCCAATTAAAAACCACCAAACGAACTAGCTCAACTAAGGAGACAATACAGCTATTGTCCTATATTATAGTTGGAAAAACTAACACTGAGAAATTAAATGGCCCACACTGGATTATGCCACAGTTCAGGAACGGAGGTTGGACAAGGGAGGGCCCTGCCTTCCCTCATTGCAGTGGACAACAAATCTGAGGGCGTCCTCTTGACTTGGAACCAGATGGAAATAGTGCAATTCACTTAAGCTTCTAGGCTTGAAAGCTGTGGCAGAGATACTCTGTCACTGCCCTTGATAGTATCTGAAACCCCTGTACTCCAGCTAGATTCAAAGTTAATATTTTCTCTGGCTGATGAAATGAGTAAGTTTAGGATTACTTCCTGAGAGATGGGAGACTTCTAAAACTGGCATTTCCTCTTTCTTAGAATGTCTAGGGCTACTGTTTGTTAAATATGAACGTTTGATAAATTGGTATTTCTAATTGTTCCCAACAAATGGTATTTGGCAGGGCACGGAAAGAATTCAGTCTTCTAAACGAAAGCCCGTGCCAGGCCTCGGGTGCTGGGGGCAGATTCTTGTGTGATGATACTGGTGGTGGAGCAGACACACTTACATTACACAGCACTGGCTTGGGGGATTTTCCCCTAAAAGGAAATCACTTTAGAGGATTTCTTCTGTTCAGCTTCTGAAGGCTAAAAAAGAAAGTGTGCTGACTTCATAGCATTTGAATTCTCTCTGTGCAGACTCAAACACTAACATTCAGCATCAAGTCAGCTACTGTTTTCAGGAAGAGGTTGGAGATTGTTGGCAAGTCAAGCACCTGGGTGGGATGGCCTCATCAATGCGATGCCCAAGAAGACGGGGCTCTGCAGTGAGCTCCAAAACCCTGCCCTGCTTCCAGGGAAGCGAGGCTGCCTTTGTCCTCAATTCATGGCAAGGGTCTTGTGGCCTGCAGTCCACCATGGGCGTGCCAGAGGAGTCACAGAATGAGAATTCAAGAGAAGGTCCACATCCCAATTTTCCTTTTGTCTGTAGTCTTAACTGCTGTTGTTCCCAATATTGTGTCACCGCTGTGTTCCTAGATTTTCTCCAGTGCCCGAGCAGCAGACTCATAGACACCTGTATGTATTTGGCAGGAGAGCTCTACCTCACAGGGTGCTCCACAGCTGTGATCTTTGGAAGTTGGTTGTCAGGACTTTCTTTTGAGGCACTTCAAGGTAGATTCAAATGGCTCTGTATCCTTAACCTTTTTAAAAAATTATTATTATACTAGTTTATTTACAAAATTAGAATACATTGTTTTCCAGAACAGATTCTTCCAATTTTTCTCATTCCCCTACCCATCACATTGTACACTCCATGATTAATAACCCCCTTTCCCTGCACATCCTCATCCCTCTCCTTAACTTTCTTTTTAAAAGAAATTACTGTAATTTTCGTGAAAGTTTACAGAAAAGTTGGGCTTTCACTCATTCATTGATACACATGTTCCTCCTTCCCTTGCCCTCATCTATTTTGTAATGCACATCTTGTTCCAGATTGTTAACTGTCATACATATAATGCTGAACCTTCCATTCACCTATTCCAGTGCAGTATTCATTATCTATCTACTCTTTTCCCATTAATGAGCGAATGGATGGAAAAATTGTAGTACATACACACAATGGAATATTACATAGCACTGAAAAAGAATGAACTTGCAAAACACTACACAACATGGATGGATCTGGAAGTCATTATGCTGAGGGAAATATCTCAGTCACAAAAGGACAAATACTACATAAGACCACGATTATAAAAATAGGATGGACATAGGGTAGGTAGGGTTGGGCAGGAAGAGAGTAGCTAGATAATGAACACTTAACCTAACCTTTGACACAGCTGAATCTGGCTGGTAAAGCAAATGGCACCAGTTTTTCTCATGATAGTGATCTGTTTCCTGTTCTTCCTGAATTCTTCTCTTGGGGCCCCCAGCACTTACTTAAATCAGTCTAAGGGAAAGGCATAATTTTTTTTGTGCACTCTTTGCTTCCCTTCATAGTCTGCAAGTTATCTGAAGCCAGAGACCTTGTCTGTTCATTCACAGTGCCTTGTAGAGTTTTAAAAAAAAAAAAAAATTTCTAGAATTAATACATGAGCCACCTATACAACTTTAAAAAAATCAGATCATTACAGATGAAACTGAAGCCTGCTCTGATCCTCTCTCCCATGCTTTGTCTTCTTTACCTCTTTTCAGAGGTTGTTGCCACAATAATGAGCTGGTGGTTTTCATTCCAAATATTAAAAAATCCAAATGTATTACTGTTATCACAGCATTGTATGTGTGACAGTATTTACCACTATTGCATTCTGCTCCTGTGTACTTCCCAGTGTCTTCCTTTGCTGTGGCCATGGTGTGTTAATCTCTTCCTTTCCAAGTAATTTTAGAAAACATCTTTCCTTACTTACATGGGTTTACTATATGCATATTTAAAAGAATACAAATAGAAGTGCAACCTGCTTAATTCATTGAACAATTTTTTTTGAGACCTACCCACACTAATGCATCTCGATCTAATTTTCCACCCAATTGTTTTATGGAAAGTAGTTAGTATTTAGATAACTACAAAAAGTCAAGCCAAACTAGTTGCTTTCCAGGCAACTGCGATTCAAGGTCCCATGTCAAAGTAGAACTACTTCCCATACAGTTTTCAAAGGCTGTGATCTTTTGGAAGTAGACCATCAGATCTTAACTTCCAAGGTACATCTGGGTGGATTTGAACCTCCAACCACTTAGTTAGTAGTCAAGCACTCAACAATTTGAGCCATTCAGGGACTGCTACCAATGACTCTATCACACTTTATTTAGTTAACCCTCTACTGATAAACATTTAAGCAGCTCCCAATTTTTTTTCTTTAACAAACAAACAAAAAATGTTAGCGTCTCATGTTTCTGTGAGTGTTTCTCTAGGAAAGAAATAAAAAATTTAACTCTTGGTGCACAGGGTAGGTGGAGTTTTAATTCTGAAAGAAAACTAAGCAGAAGGTTTGATATCTAGCAGGATGTAAGAGACAATTATTTGAGATGATTTTTTTTTCTTTGGCAGAAAAAATGACACAGTGTGTTGGAAAAAAGGCTTTAGTCCTAAGAGTCAGAACCCTTATTCCTGACCTGCCCCTGCCACTAGCAGGCGTTGTGATGCTAGATGATCTCCCCTTCTCTGGGCCTCAGTTTCCTCACCTGTGAAATGAGTTAGATCCAATGTTTTTGTTCTGAAAGACCTATTGGTTCTCGTAGTCCACGCTCTAAGGGTCATACCTGAGGGGTCCCCAGCCGCTCTATCAGAGGGACCAAGTGAAGTGGGGCATACTTGGCTTCTAGGCGTTTCATCCGGACCTCCAGGCGCTCCCCCTCTGCAAGTAAAGCAGCAAAGCAGCATATCGGATTCAGGGCACACAGTGGCGGTTGGGGGGCGGGGGCAAGAAGGGCTGGGGAAGGACACTCAGAGGACCTGGTGAGATACCTGCTTTCTAATCTAAATGGAGCACAGCTATTCTCTGAAAAGGATGATTCATTGCCTTTAGGTACCGTTTAGTCAACTACCACTCACAGTGACCCTACTCCTGAGTCGCCCTCACCATCTCTGATATGCTCTAGTCCGTTTCTGCAGTCACCGTGTCCATCTGATTTCCCGAGGGGCTTCTCCTCTCTCACTGGTCCTCTACTTTTCTCAGCATAACGTCTTTTCCCAAGAACTGGCTCCTCCTGACAACATGCCCAAAGCAGGAGAGATAAAGTGTCCTCGCTGCTAAGGAGCACCCAGGTTTACATCTTCCCAGACAGATTTGTTCGTATTGATTAGCACTCACTAAAATGAGTGTTAACCTATTATCACTCTCTGACAAAGGACTTGAGAAATCTAAAGCAAGGATAGACTAGAAAGAACAAGGAATAAGGCCAAGAGTGTTGATTACAACTCTGCCATCCTGGGAATATACTACAGAAGCCACAGTGTTAGCCTTCTTCCTTTCAAAATACAAATCGGAGTTTGCTGGGACTGAGCACTGAGCCTGAAGTTCAAGCACAAGCTGGCCACATTCGCTGCTGGGAGTCATTGCTTACCTTTGATGTAGACTCGAGGCAAGATGTTCTGGAAAGGCGCAGCATGGAGCAGATCACAGACTTCCTCCTGGGACTGCACAGAGGCATGGGAGGAAAGGAGGAGAAAATAACTTTTCATTTGAAACCAGAAAACGAGCATTCCAACAGTATATATCTCAATGTGGGCTATTTAAGGATTAAACAAGAGCATACGCCACCTCCTAACAGAGCTTTTGGCACATATAAGCACTTAATGCATGCCAACTAGGGAGATCTGGTGATAAAGTCCTTTAAGGTCCACCTCCCCAGTGGTTCAAAGCCACCAGTGGCTCTGGAGGAGGAGGATGGATGGACAGTCTCCTTTCGTGTGATCTACAGCCTGGGAAACCTGCTGGAGAGTCAGCTTTGAGTTGGCTTCAAGTTGACAGAAATGAGTTTTTTCTATATAATCTCCTATTTGTTGAAAAATTAGAATGTGTAACAGAGAGTTCATGCCAAGCAGGAGGCCGAGACTGCCCTCAAGTCCACTGACGTGGGATACGCCTGTTAAGGTCTGTGTCTGCCGGGTTACTGCTTTATCAGCTAGTATGAGACAACAGACTAGAACATTCTGGTTCTGGTGATTTAGGAAAGTCAGTTTAGGAGAAGACATCAATCACAATGGCAGGAGGGAAAAGTTATTTAGGGTAAGGCAGACCTAGAAGACAGGGTCTAATCTGCTTACTGCCCTGGGTCCAGTTCATGATCACAAAAGAGCAGGGTAGGATGAGGAGAGGAGGAGAAGCCCAGCTTCATTCAGTCTTGATGTCTCATCTTTAAATTGTTTGGAGTAAGTTAAGATCCAGGCTCTATTGAAACGCTAACACACTGGGATTCTAAGCACAAGGACAGGATGTCATGCCCTCGGCTTTCTCCCACCAAAGTAGGGGGAAATCATGGCCATGCTGGGAATCCCAAACCTGATGTCTAAGAACAGAAGCCCCCAGATACTTCTCACTGCAGATCAGTCTACAAACTGAGCAAACAGAAAGGGGGACAAGCAGACATTTCAGAGTTTTCTGCCTGACCCCTGATCATCACTCAGTTTTTAGCCCCAATCCCTCACTGCTACGGAGCTGACACTGAGTCATGGTGAACTCGCAAGAAAGGAGCACTGTGCTCCACACGGTCTTCAAAGGCGGCTTTTTCAGGAAGCTCGCTAGATATTCCTTCCTAGGAGGTTCTGAGAGGACTCAAACCTCCAATCCTTTGAACAGCAGCCTAAGGGGATGAACCACTTGTACCACCCAGGACTTGCTCCCCCTTTTCCTTTGTTAAATTAGGTTCTCTCCTAAGCTGTGGTCACAGGCACATCTTCCAGTGAATCAAACTACCTAGCTGCACTGTTGGGTCTAAGTTAGATCCTCTGATTCAGAGTAGAACCTTTTCTTCGTGGTCTAACCTGATGTCTTTGAAAGATTACATTCTGCTGACCCTTCCTTCTCCAGTGTCTGGCAGTGAGCTCAGATGCTTTCCATCATTTTTCTTTCTCTCCTTTGAGACTCTCTTGCAAGTTTTACATTTAACCACCCCATAATTGTTGGTTTTCTGCCAAATTTCACTTTGGTTTCCTTACCTCCTCCCTCTGTTCCATCTGATTAGCCTCATCAATCCCCAAGACTTCACACATACTCCTTACCTACGTCTCACCAAATTGGTATTTCCAGCCACCCTTCTCCAGGCTGGTTGGAATCTGTATTTGGATATTTCACAGCTCAAGTCCCTTAGGCTGCAGACCCTGCTCACAGAAGTCACAGCCATCTCCTCCTCCGAATGAGCTTAGAACCTCAGGTCCACCTTCTCTCTCAACACCTCCCCTGACTAGTCTTTACGTCCTGTGACTTCTCCAGTCTCATCTCTCTCTACAGAGAGAGTTCTTTTAGCATAGGGATGATACATGTGGTGGTTTCTTTAGTGGGGTTTTGTTGTATTTTTATTTTGCTGCTTATCATGCATCAATGCCTCTTACACAATGGTGTTCAATGCTATCAAGTTGGAACCAACTCACACCTGTCCCTCCAGTGAATATTCAGAAGCTAAATCACATGCGAAAAGACTGCCCATCTTTCTCCCATGGAGAAGCTAGTAGGTTCAAACCACATGCTCTTTTGGGTTGGCTGTGAACTCCTTATGCACTCGGCCACTGGAGCTCCAAATTATATAATAAATTTACCAATGTTGTTATTGCTGTTGTTATGTGCTGTTGAGTCACTTGCAACTCACAGTGCCCCTATGCACAACAGCCCTAAAACCTGCTCTATCCTGTGCCAATTTTACTGTCACTGACACAGCTACCTTCATTATACCAGACACTGTATCAATCCATCTCATTGATGGTCTCCATCTCTTTCTCTGCCCCTCTACCCTTCCAAGCATGATGTCCCTCTCCAAGGACTGGTCACTCCTTGCAACATGTCCAAAGCATGTCAGATGAAGCCTTAGAATCCATGCCTCCAAGGAGCAGTCTGGCTTCACCCATCTCTAGGACAAACCTGTTGGTTCTCCTAGCAGTCCATGGTATTTTCAATAATCTTCTTAACCCCCACAGCTCCAACATATCAATTATCTTTCTATCATTCCTAGTCCTTTTTCAGCTCTCTGATGCACAGCAAGTAACTGTGAAGACTATGGCCTAGATCAAGCGCACCTTAGTCTCCAGACTGACATTATTGCTCTTCAGTACTCTGGAGAGGTTCCTGAAAGCCAATTTTCCCAATGCAATTTGTCTCTTGATTTCCTGGCTGCTGGTACCAAGAGAGATGATTGTGGAGCCAAGCAACCTAAAGCTGTTAACAACCTTGATCTCTTCACCATCTATCATAATGTTGCCAATCGGCAGAGTGGTGACAATCTTTGTTTTCTTGATGTTGAGCCTCAATCCATATTGAAGGCTGCAGTCTTTGACCCTCTGCAGCAAGTGCTTCAGGTCCTCCTCATTTTCAGCAAGCACGATTGTATCATCTATATAACACAAATTGATGAATTTTCTTCCAATCCTCATGCCACATTCCTCCTCATATAACCCAACCTCCTGGATGATCTATTCTGCATACAGGTTGAAGAAGTATGGAGACAGAATATATTCCCGGCATACACCCTTTCCGATTTTCAACCATGCAGTGTCTCCTTGCTCTATTCTGATGATTGCCTCCTGGTCCAAACATAGGTTTCACATAAAATGTTCTGGGATTCCCATTCTTCTCAGAGTCAATCACTGGTTTTTGTGATCCACACAGTCAAACACTTTTGCATAGTTAATGAAACACAGACATTTCTCTGGTACTCTCTGCTTTCAGCCAAGATCCAACATTATCTATAATATCCCTAGGACCATGGCCTCTACTAAATCCAGCCTGCAAATCTGGCAATTGAAACGTAACGGTATCAGTCTGGAGACTAAGGTGCGCCTGATCCAGTCCATAGTCTTTGCAATTACTTGCTATGCATCAGAATGCTGGTCAATGACTACGGATAACAGAAGGAGAACTGATGCCTTTGAGCTGTGGTGCCGGGGAAGAGTGTTGAATATACCAAGGACTGCTAGAACAAACAGATTTGTCCTACAGAGTGTAAAACCAGGCTTCTCCTTGGAGGCAAGGATTCTGAAGCTTTGTTTGACACACTTTGGGCATGTTGCAAGGAGGGACTAGTCCTTGAAGACATCATGCTTGGGAGGCTGGAGGGACAGCCCAAGAGAGAAAAACTCTCAATGAGATGGATTGATTCAGTGACTGGGGTAATGAGGGTAGGTGTGTCAGAGGCAATAAGTTTCGTTCAGGATAGAGTAGGCTTTAGGGATGTGGTACATAGAGTTGCTACGAGTTGCAAATGACTTGATGGCACATAACAACAACAACAACATATAAGTTATCTTACAAATATTTGTTACATAAATAAATTCATTTATTTGATCTCATGGCAGTTCTCCACATATAATAATGATATTATTAAATGTATTTAATTTATTTTTCATCCAAAAAGTATTTATTGGGTGCTAGGTCCTGTTCCAGACTTGGTAGACAAGTTGGACTGGATTCTGCTTCTCATGAAATTTACATTCTAGTTGACAGATAAAAACAAACTAGCAAAGCAGAAGTTTCAGATAGTGATAAAATAAAGCAGAGTAATAGGCTAGAGGGTGACTGGGAGGGAGTTGGGTTGGGGCTGTTTCAAGGAGAATGTTTAATAAAATCTTGATGGGTGACATTTGGATAAACAGAATGAAGTGAGTAAGCTGGTCAAGGAGATACAGGGTAAGGGCATTCCGATGCACAGGCCTTGGGGTGGGAACGAGCCTGTGTTTACTGAGTGCAGGGATACACACACTCACAGCACAGCATGCAGCCCTAAAGTGAGGGAATCAGCAAACTCGATGGGGCTAGCTGAGAAGTCTGAGCTTTGTCTCCAGTGTTCACTCACTCTCATTGCTGTTAAGTCAGAACCCAAGTCAGAACCCTGAGTGCTGGGCAGTGTTCAATTCTGTTGTATACAAGGTAGAGCTGACTCGATGGCATCTAACAACAACAAATGAATGATTCTGAACCTCTCACCTTTTGGTTACTAGCTGAGTACTGAACTGTTTGTGCCTCTCAGAAACTCCTGTCCTCCCCAAACCTCATTCTTTTCCTTGTCAGCATTTGAACTTCATTCTGAAATGCAACTACAGGATTAATGTCTACATTCTCCTACTATAGGAAGAGCCCCAATGAGACGGATTGACACAGTGACTTCAGCAATGGACTCTCAGGTGTCGGAGATGATGAGGATGGCCCAGGATAGGACAGGTCAGCTGTTCACAGGGTTGCTAGGAGGTGTGCTCGACTTGACAGTACCTAACAATAACCACCTCCTACTAGAATGTAACCCCATGAAGGCAGGGACAATGCTCCCTTCAGACCATAATTTATCCCCACTGCTGCCAATTCTGACTTACAGCAATCTTATTTTGTTAGACACACCCACACTCACACGATTCTGAGCGTGGCATCCCACCCTAGGATTTTGCGAGGAGAAAACTTTATCAGAGACTGCTCGTTTTCCTCCTGAGGAAACAGT